CGAAGTGTGTGCTCGACGACCTGAAGGCATTCGGGGCCGACCACGGATCTACGAAAACCGATCCATGTTGTCTCGGAATCCCGGTACCGAAAGACACGGCACCGAAGTTAAAGTGGACGGAAGCCGCGAAGGTAGAGGGGGGAGTACCCTGGAATGCGGCGGTGCTGCAGGGAGCTGAGAGGTTCATGATCTCCTGGCACGACAAGGAAGAAGAAGCCAGCCGACAACGGGCGCTCAAACGAAGCCACAAGCCACCAACCAATGGGGCAGGAGGGGGGCAGGAGAAGAACGAGACGGCGAGGGAAGAAAGCAAGAAAAAAAAAAAAAGAAGACGAGAAGAGACGGACCGAGTTGCGCGATACGTGCCGGATTGAAAAACTTGTAGCCATTTTACCCCCCCCCCAACGCTGCACAATTGCACCAACTTCCCAGTAGTGATGACGTACCATTACAATGTATCGCTGGTTGGTGGCCATGTTTGCGTGTTTGCCTGTCGTTAGTGGTCTCTCCACCCTATGCCTTTTTCTGTCTCTTATTTCTTGGTACTTTCGGCCTGGTCCCTTTTGCCCTCGCTCTTATTATTTCATTTTCTCGTTCCTTACTGTTTCATTTTATTTTCTTCTCTTTTTCTCTTTTTCTCTCCTTTTCTGTGCCAGATGGCCTTGTCTCCGCTTGCGTTGTTAAGTACCAAGATTGAACCAAGGGGGTTCACCTCACTCTCTCCGGCCCGTGATGGTGACTACTAGTCTCAGTTGTTACCTCGCATCGCGCGCAGAGGGAGTGGAGGACTCCAGAATATCTGTCGTTGATTTCTATTGACTTGGACCCCTCGGGGCCACTTTATTTGAGTGTACCTTTTTAGGGTAAGTTAGCCTGCGACCACGGGAATCTACCGCGTCGAGTGTTGGATCAGTACGGACATACGAAGGTACTGGGTAGAGAGAGATCGGAACGGGTTTTAATGTGGAGACAACAACAACAACAACAACAACCAATCAGGCGCTGCGCAGTGCTCTGCGGTGGTGACGGGGTTTCGTGCGTGTGCCGTGTGCATCACGTCGTCTCACCAGGCTAGGGTGGCGGTGGGGATGATGTCGGTGAAGGGGAGGAGCTCTTCCATTGCGCCGAACACCTATTCGACAAATTGCGACCCAAGCGCAGACGGAAACGGACAGCAAGCGCAAGCCAGGCGCGCAACATGCGCACAAAGCAGAAAAATGAATACGTACTCGAGAAGATGCGAACAATACAAAAATGAATACGTACTCGAGAAGATGCGAACAATACAAAAATGAATACGTACTCGAGAAGGGCCTCGCTGCGGCGGGAATGTTGCACATCTCCACCGAGGAGGGCAGCAGCAGCCACCATAGCAATTTCAAAAAAACGAACCAGAAGCTGGCTCTGCTGGGTACCCGCACCACGGGCGCGGTCGTATCCACAACAACTTTTGTCCACTTTCCCACAACACTATTGTTCCCCTAAATCTCACCCTCCCAGCACAAGCGACGCCGGGAGATCGACGCTGCTGCCCCCTACCGCTGCGATATAAACGACACTCTTAACGCCCTCACCCCCGCCCACGGGCTCGAGTCATGGTACATGGCATCGATGAGCAAGTAGGACACCGGAGCCCACAGCAGGTCTGTCGACTCGCCCAGAATCTGCAGGCCACGGTGTCAAAACAAGTACGATACGCGCAAGGTTGACAAAGCACCAGAGGAACTTCGGAACCGGCCGCCTGTTAGCGTCCTTCGGCTGTAGGGCAGAAGCGGGATAGCATACCACGTTGTTTGGAGGTCTGGCTACGTGTACGTCATGTGCAATCGATGGCGTTTGGCATGAGACATGCCGGCGCTGGTCTGCATGCCAAGAAGCCAAGATGGCGTAAAGGCGTAAGGCCTTCCCGGCACGTGGAATGCTGATTGTGAATGGCAAGGTGTGACATACTCCACCGTCGTTGCTGTTGATATTTTCGCAACAGCATTTCCCCACAGAGGAAACTCAAAAACACGCCGTGTTGACGGGCTTCAAAATGGACAGAATAGATCAGTTCGTCTTCCACACGGGGGAGATCGTAAAGCCTGTGCAGCGATGCACGGCTAGATGGAAAAACCATGGGAGAACATGACATCACTTCAAGCTTCGCGGCTCGCGGCAAGAGTTTCGCGTGTGGATTTCTTGCCCGTAGACGCGTTCCTCGATTTCAAGTCGACTGCCGTGTTACAATGAATGGCTCTACGGTTGCCAGAGCGGTGGCGCCCCCACAGCTTGCTTTCATGCTTGCTCAGGAAAGAGCCTGAGATGTCTGTGTGAACAGCTACAGCGGCTAGCTGGTATCAGCAGCAGATCTCTGCAGAAATAGAGGTCGTACAAGAAGAGGTGCACAGCTCCAATAGTGAAGGGGACACTCGGAACATGTTCTGTGAAAGACTATGGCTTTCGAGCCAAGTTCATATCGGATTGAATCGCGGTGTGGGACCTGCACTCTCGAACCGATTCATTCGTTGCTCAACATACTCGACCTAAACGTTGGAAATCGAACAGCTTTTCCGTTCTACGGTGTGAATGCTCGCGACCCATGACGGAGCTACGAAGTCAACGAATGAAGAAGTTCATCGCTCTGGAGGAAGTGCCACTGTACCATTTGCATCTTTCCGGGGGGACTTGGGTATAGGAATAAAACAAGCAGGATGCACCAGGAATCGATTCGCTACATTTGTATGCTTGGTCCGCAAACTCTGGTGCAAAAACTATGCAGCTCCTGAGTGAAACTACAGCATTCTGCTACACGCTACACGTGGAGGCGAAGTGCGTCAAACGTGGAACTTCAAGCTATCTCACAGGTGAAACCGAGGGGCTCGAGGAACGGTCGAAAAAAGTGTCAGAATGTCTGAACCACAGTGACGAGTTCGGCTTGCATGCTTCCATGACTACGGCAAGGCAAAGAACAAGCTGCAGGTGTCAAACGAAATCAATTCGCCGTTGGATGCCCAAGCTCACCGGAACAGCGTAGGAGGTACACCCAACTGTGTCGACCGCTATTGACATCGCTAGCTTGGACCACATTCCCGTGGGTACCAGACATTGCGCGATGCGTGCGGGGGACGGTCCTGGCCCCACGGGGAAGAGCACCTGTTCATACGCGAATGTCGAAACACACCACGAAGAGAAGATCCAAACAAGCGCGCGATTCCAGTGAAGAATGTAACAAGGGTAAAAAGACCAACGCATACGAAAGACGGCAAGAAATTTTCGTCGGGTCGACGACAAGACAAGGTCATTCTTCATGGGGTTGAAATTCCACTCACAAGACACATTTACTCTTTTTTCGTTGCATCTCTTTTCGTTCCGTATTTTTTCTGTCATCTCATGCCGTGCGCAGGAGTAAAAACGAAAACGAGTAGCTCGATCGGGCGACATTACTCTTCTCAGCTGACTCGCCTCGGGGTTATCTCTGCCGACCCTGTCGTAGGCGGGCCGTACCGCCCGCTGAACCCACGCCCGCCCGCCGCGGCTGAAGAGCCACACCGCCGCCGTAAGCAGCGCACCGGCGCCTCCAACAGCGGCGACTACGATCAACATCGGTACTAAAAGAGGAAGGCCCGCCACTCCTGAGTGCGTGATACGATGACAGATGCAATGGTGGACGTACATCCGAGCGCATGAATACGTTCGAAACCACCGAGATCGCGGGTTGACAGCAGGGTATGTATGCGGAAGTCAGGTGGGCAACCCACTGGCGCTTTACCACAAAAAATACTCCATTCACCCAAATGTTAAGCCACATTGAGTTTTGCGAATACGGATGAACGCACGGAGTGTCGCCGATCAACACCATGTGGAAACATGCTGTTGTACTAAGACAACGCAAGCGGTTCTCTTGGACAAGTCATTTACACGTAGAAACAACTGAACCCGCCACCCACACAAGAAGCAAAGCGCAACCTTCTTGGCCTGGCAGGAAGACAGAGGGCTAGGTACCTCAAAAGTACGCACGAATGAAGACACGGCGCGTAATGCAAACGCCACCGAGCTGCCACAACAGCGAAATGTGGTAGGTAAAGTGCACCAGAGACCCGAAGAGAAAAAGTGCCGGAGAAAACACGCACGAAACTCTGCTGGGACACGCCACGCTCCCAGAGGCATCACAGACTAAAACTGACCTAGGACACAAAGCAAGGGAAGAGAAGCCAAAACGACAATCCCCGCCGGGATCTTCGGGATGAGGGCGGCTTGGCTGGTAAAGTACGGAGCGACGCGTTCCGTCTGCGATCCGATCGAATGACACATATCCATAACAGAGAAGGAGGAAGGACGCCAGCAGGAAAGAAAAAAAGGCTCGCGTTAAGGTCAAAATCAGCGCGATCGTGCGGACGTGGGTGTGGTGGGGGGAGTGTCGGGGTCGCACAATGAAAGCATACCCTGAGCCGTGCGAGAAGGAGACGGCCTAGAGCGCCAATTTCCGGAGCAAGAGCGGCGTTGGACCACAATGTTTGCGTGCGCCCCGTTTTGCCCACTAAAATCAAAATACGTCTCCCCCCAGGCAGCCCTCCCCGGTGTTTGCCATCGGGGTTGGGTCTTCGTCGCTTGGCAACGACGTTGTAAAACAAGCCAATTCACTTTGTGAACTCGGCAACCAGGTTATTACCGTTTTTTTTTTTTTACCTCCGTTTTTTTTTTTTTGGCGGTAAACCATAATGGTGGTCGAGTAGATCATGTTGTGCGGGGTCGAGAACCCTCACTCCGCGCAAGGGGGATGATCGCACCACGTTGTGTTGAAATGGTCAAGCACCCTCGAGGCAGTTACACAGTGCTTACAACTGTCTCTGGAAGTGAAAGCACCAGAAAATAAATTAATTCATACGCAGCTGTCATCCGTACGCAAGGAAGTAAGCACAAGATGCCGAACACCCTTAGCAGGATGCAGCGCACCCTTCATGCGACTCGCCGAATATCTCACGGCGCTTCGCGCTTGGTGATGTGAGAGCCTGGTCCGGTGAGAACCCGGCGTGCTCCGTCCCGGCTTTGTAGGGATGCGAGGTCAATGGTCTAACGACTACGGCATGCACGACTATGAGTACACCCCCCCCCCCCCCCCCCCCCCCCCAGGCAGTCCCTACACCGCAGGTGCTCCACCTCAGAATATGCTCCCCGCTACAGTGGTGGCAATGGTTAAATAGAGTTTATTTATGACAAAGTACGGGTTTACGCGAGTCAAACTGGCTTGTCACGCCCCTGACCGATTCAAGAGAAGAGAAAAATTGCCCTATTCCTCTCGTTTTCTCTTATACCGTAGCCAAAATGATTTGAGACACGCAGACACGCAGACCACACACGACCTCCGGTGCAGACATCATGCCCTGCGCAGCGAGGGAAGCAAAGCAGACTTGCATGAGGGGTTTCATTTAACGGTGCCCAAAGGGACGAGAGAGTGCTCAGGCCCACGTAGGAACGGGGAGGTTTTTTCGTGGTACATCAGTGCCATTTAAGTACGATTTGTTTTTCTCACTGTTTTTTACTCCATGCATTTGAAAAACCCGGTACGTCTCGCGAGCACAAACGACGCGCTGATGCACGCAGCAGCAACGTTCTCAGCATGTCAGGGCTCTTAAACGGACGTAGCTGAGTTGGCCACGGTTTAAAGAGATTTCTCTCTAAAGCCATGGCCAACACGGTACAAGAGAAAAACCGGATTTAAGAGATAGATTTTAGCTTGTCACGGCACTCTCTTAAACCGAACCCACCACTGCAGACTTTAGTTCACACAAAAGAAGCTCGTTTGTATGTACCAACAATACATAGCAGCACTCACTTGTAGAGACACTGTGTCGAGCGCGAGGTCCACGGTGGAGGCGCACCCTTGTAGCAAGCGCGCCACCGACTCTACAGGCGGACGGAATGGGCTCCGAAGGGTAGCGCTTAGCACCAAGTTCGGAACGGATTCCTGCTGGTTTGGGTTGGGGTTACGTTGGACGATGGAGGACGGGGCAACATAAATTGATCATCACTCAGCCACATGGAAGACGTTCAGTCCCTCTGTGTTCCAAATCAGGGTACTAAACACATTCAAAACGTGGCAAGCGGAAAGCATGAAGGAAGGAGAGGGCACACCTCGTGTGGATCCTAGTTACCTGGTCTGTCATACCTTTGTTGAGAATCAAGCTTCGGCACGGGGGAAAAAAGAAGAGGGTGGTCTTGGACATACATGAAAAAACAACTGGCACAGGAAACATGGAGCTCAGAGTAAATATGCGAATGGCTCACCACATCATGAAACTTTTCTCCGCCAAAAAACTACCAACTCGAGCCAAAAAACACTTACAGTACTTACATCTGCCGTCTGGAAGCTATCCCCGCCCAGGACGGGTTCGAGCCGGAACACCATGAACTCGCGTTCTGACTCTCCGCTAGCATCGCCCATATCCACCCCCGTTGGTCTGATCGTTGGATCTATCGATATCGACCGCACCGAGAGGAGGATCTTGGCGGAATCCACCCAGTTCGAGGTGGGGTGCCACGAGCGAAGCACGATGTGCAAGGTCTCGTCGAATATTTCCTCCAGGATGTTGCTCTGAAAAACAATTTTTGAACGGTGCGTTTGTCGGGAAGGAATCGCGCAGGGTTTGGGGGGAGGAGAGGGTGTGTCAACACGGTCAGGCGTTGGCGGGCGGCGGATGTCAGATGGCGATCCCGAGCAACCTTCGACCTCGAACCATGGCACGTGGCTTCGCGCCCTGGAAGTGATGCCAAAGCGGAAACACGGAGACAGAAGGACCTATCCCTCTCTAACAGGTGGTGCGCTGCCGTTGCGCGAGAGCTTGGGAGATCGATGCTAGCGTCCAGCAGAACGGGGGCGATGTGAGCAGTAAGTCTCTTGCTCTCCTGCCATGATCATGGTTGTCTGCTACCGATATATGTGAGCGCATGCAACGGCGGATAGCCAAAGTAAGTAGCGTTGGACAGCTAACGTAGCGACGAGACTTCACACACGGATGAGACGAAATAGTGATACGGCGCCGAAACAGGGTCTCCCGCCACCAAAGCATACGCATTCCGCCCCCGTGGTCCTGCTCTCCATGCCCGACCCTCTTCCTTAAGTCCGTGCATTTCCTGCGCCCCTTCATGTACTTCCCTTCAACACCTCGCTTCATTGAATACGCAGCGTGTGAATCCACAGCGTTGACAGCCTACAACAGCTCACATTGAACACGGCGATGTTGCCCGTAGCGCTCTCGTACGAGAAATCCCCCGTGACGGGATCCACGCTCACGGGAGAGAGCCGCTGCACGTGTAGATCGCCGAGTCTGACCTCCACGTACACCTTCGTCCCCCTGGGTTTCGACGATGCCAAGCACAGACATCGAGGAACACACCGGGGGAAAAGGTCTGTTCAGGGTTGTGCATACGTGCGTTTCGCAAGGAAAATCCCCCCTGATCGTACCACTGCCTGCTCCATAGTTAATGCCATCCAAGTTGTCAAGATCGGCGTCGGTGAACTTTGCATGGGCTTGTTACAGAACAAGTATTATTCAATGACCGAAAGAGTGCAACGCATGCATTTGTGCAAACGAACGCAACCTCAAAACAAACAATACCAGGCCCGTCGAAGACTTTTCTGTTTCGAACGCCTATAGACTACAGGGGCAGCGGGAGCGGGCCAACGAAGTGTACAGATCCTTCCTCTGACGAAATTTCCATCGGGAATTGCTTCCCTTCCCCGCAAAAAGAAACGAGCGAGAGCTGAAACTGGATGCGAGAGAAGAAAAACACACCCGGACACACGAGTGTGGGCGCCACACAGTTGGAGAACGCCTTCGAGGAGCGGCATGCCCGTTTGGCACGCCCAAGATCTGTTGTTGGGGCCTTGGCTGCAGCTGCGGTCCGTCAAGTCCACCTAATCTGGGTCCAGTACTATTCACGATCCACGGCTGTACGTGCCGTCGCAGACTAACCCCCCGCGGACTACGATTCGCCACAAGGCCGCTACTGCAGTGGTGAGATCTGTTGTAGACTGGTTCAGGAGTAGACCAGCAGTTCGAGGGATTGGGTCCGCGGTGCCGCGCACACCACAAATGGATCGTGAAAGGTACGGGCCCAGATCTGGCGGGTATTTCGGACCGCAGCTGCGGCCTTCGACAGCACGCCCCCCAGCGATAGATCAGGGCGCGCCAGTGCGCATTTCGCTGCTGCTGATGTACTCCACATATATACTCCAAGAGACGTCCAAGTCGGGTTTCCGCTTGTACTGCTGTGCACCTTGAGCTCGCGCCGTGCTCTTGTCTTGAGTTTAGAATTATGGAAGGTTTGTGCTGATCCGAGATAAGGTGGTTTGGAGATAGGATACATGATGTGCTGTTGGACACAAGCCCCAAGCGGTGTCCGGTGTGTCAACTTGCCACCACCGGTCGGTGGTGCATATTTATATTTATACCGTATACGACACAAGATAACACACCCCCTTGACCGATTTTCGAAGCTCGATTTCTCAACTGCAGGAACAGTCACAGCGCCGAAAACGGCGGCGTTGAAACCGTCTCGTCGAGAGCTTTTCGAAAATGTATCATTTCGTTTATGCATCCTCTTCGTCGTGGAGTAATCGAGCTTTGAAAATCGGTCCAGGGGGTGTGTTATCTTGTGTCATAAACGGTATGCTAGTCCTGCTGTCTGGGTGTGGATGCTCCAGCAGCCATATTCGAAAATCAGTCAAAATCAAGATCGACAAGCAGATCCTGTTACTTTAATCAGTGCTCACAGCACTGGTGTCGTTTACTCCAACCCGTGGTCACACAGAAGAGCCCCTCTCTACCCTCCCCTCCTGCGGTACTTTGCCTTCGATTTTTAATGCGAGAAGAGTTCAGCACTCTCTTCCCTCTGTGTATACTCGAACTAGCGCTATCCACTAGGCCAGGAGCGGAAGCGAGAGAAAAACCCACTTTGCAAGAAACGCTCGCTCACGTCGGGATTCGAACCCCTAACCTGACCTTTACCGGTAGAAGGTTTCGGGGATACCAACTAGACCACCGGGGCGACCGGTCGTTACTGGAATCCTTCAAATCGCACAGCAGTACTCTTTGGGGGTGATTGCCGCAAGCATATATATAGTCCACGAAACATGTGTGCATACCTAGGGATCATCTCTAGACTACGTGTGTATTGTACTAAAGGGGGGGAAATGTCATGCGGAGCATTTGGTGGACACTTGCTGCCTTTGTTTTCCCGACCACACTGCTGTGGTCACGTGGCTGAGCACTCTCCAGTGTAACTCACCATTTCAAAGGATCAACCTTCCCATTAAGCACGATGACGCTGACAATGGCATTCTCGTCTTTGTCGATTTGGGTTGCCATCTTGCGCTGGCGTGCGTGATGCAACAGCTTGGTCGTGAAGTGTAGTGGATGCTTTGCTGCTTTGCTTGTTACGTCAGGGGGGATGCGCGCATGAAAGTCGAAGTCGACACAAGGGGGTACCTACCGTATACCACACACTTCATGTCTGTTGAACCCCGCTCTCTTAGCCCAGGGCACCGGGGCAGCGGCGCGCACCCAGCGCGACGTGAATTACAACACAACACATTCCACATTCCCATACCGTCGTAGGGTTAACATGAGAAACGTGTACCGAATGGTAATATTTGCGTGTATGCTACATGTGCACACCGCAATTTCGATGTTTTTTCCACCCTCTGCTTCCTTTTTGAGTTGATATTTTCAACAGACCCGCGTGATTTGAGTACACTTTGGCGAGTGAGGTGACCTGCTTGCCAGTTGCAGTGGAGCTCCGAGCGTGGTAAAAGGGCTGGTCAAAAAGGAGTGAACACAATTTGTCCCCAGCAAACATGGCTCTAGCCTTAAAGGATGAGCGTGATACTGCTGCTGTAGAAGGCCGGTTGATGCAGTCGAGGTATTTGTTGTTGTTGTTGTTGTTGTTGTCTTCACATTAAAAACCATCCCGGTCTCTCTATCCAGTACCTCCTTCTGTCTCAATCTCTCCGTACTAATCCATCACTTGACTCGGCCAATTTCCGTGGTCACAGGCTAACGTACCTAGAAAAGGTATACCAAAATAAAATGGACCCCAAGGGTCAGCAGAGCGATAAAATACAAGAAAACAAAATATAATCAGAAACAGATAAAATAAAATAAAATAAATAATTAGACTAGTGGAACGGCCGCACCACCAGCCTGGGGGGGTAGCCTCCCACTACATGGAGGCAGGTCGACGGCCAAAGGAAGGGGCGGGGGTACGTGCCAGTAAAAAACAAAACAAAAGACAAAATAAAACAGAATAAAGCAAAGACGAGGACACAAGCAAACTCGCACAGAGACAGGGATATCCCTAGAGACAGTCTGAACGCGACAGCAAACGGGGGAGAGGGCAACAGAAAAATTAGTCGTTGAAATTCGACCGCAACATGTCACGTCACGCGGTCGGTCTCTTCTCGCTTGCTTTCTTCCCGCCGCGCCGTTTCCTTCCGCCCCCCTACCGCCCCGTTGATTGGTGCCGTATCTAGACTATTTTTGGGCCCGCTGTCTCCTCGTTTGATGGCTCGTTGTCGGCTGGCCTCCTCCTTGCCCTTGTGCCAAGAGGCCATGAACCTCTCAGCTCCCTGTAGCACCCCCGCGTGCCACGGTACCCCCCCCTCCACCTTCGCCGCCTCGTATCAACACGACATTAATTATTCAAAATCACGATACATACATGGATATTTTCGTACCGTCGGCCGGCACGCCCAAACGGTTGGGGGGCTCATCTCGAACGGGCAGTCTTCTTGCCGTACAGCAGTAGCTGGTAGCCATAGTTTCGAAAAACTATGGCCAGAAAACAAACATACAGCCGTTTAGCAAAAAGGAGTCATTCATGGGTGAGTAAATATCCAGGCCACGGGGACTGCAGCTATACATATGTACCAGAGCAGGCAGTAAAAAAAAAAACTATCAAAATATATTTTTCTGCACATACGACATACTTTGGGTAGAATACTGAGTCATCCCACGGTAGGGTGGGGGAAAATGGAGCCGAAATAACGGTGGCGACAAGCTACGCGGTTCGCGTAGCCTCTTGTATATCTCTTCGAATCGCTCATTCATGTGTTCCAAATCTGATTTACGGACAGGGACACCCATCCCATTGGCTTCCGTTCAGCAAAAATATTTTTTGTTGTTGATGTGGGCACCACATGTCAGTATATATATAAGGCTTGGGGCACTATCTCGTGTCTGGCAAACACCCTTTTTTCAGTGGCGTCAGCGGCAGCCCCCGGTTCGAATCCGGGCACGTGGGAATGTTTTTTTTGTCCTCCGCCAGCCCGTCGGGTTCCGGTTACCGTACATGCTGCGGGGGGTGCGTCGTGGTACCCGCGTATTTGTCTACGATGCTGAGCTGTCCGCTCGCTCGTATCCGGGGGGGTATGTGGGCACCACAATGTTACATGTCAGTATATAAGGCTTGGGGCACCTTATCTCGTGTCGGGCAAACACCCTTTTTACATTGATCGTTTTTTTTAAAGATACGGAGCTACGCGTCAGCGTAGCCCATGTTGTCGGGGTGTACACCCTATCGTGAAATAAATGAGTCTACTACAAATGTCCACCTCCGGGTTGGAATCTTGCAGTACTAATAATGTTAATGTAGCATAACGCGGTCGGAGAGTTGGTTGGTGGACGTCACGAAGCACAAAAGCAGATACATACAATGTAGTCTAAACGTATCATCAGTTCCGCTTGGCACGCGTTGAAACAAGTACAAAACGTGAAGATGTATTAATCGACGTGTGGTCGCATTACGGTAATATACAGCAGTGCGGCAGTACATCCTTCCTCGTGAACAAGAAGAGTACCAGATACACAGTTCGCATTACTACAAGTATATCCTTGTGCAGGTCATCCTGCCCGTCGGCCTTCTCGTGGTGAACGTCGTAAATGTCTAGAGTAGAGGCGGGTATTAAGAACCACCCGGGTATTAAGAACCACTTTTTTTCAAATCGGGGTACCTCTCACTACATTCACGGAGCCCCTTGAGGTCGGATTCAAAAAAATGCGGAGAGCCAAGAGCTTTCGTTTGAGCACCTCAGCGTGGCAATTAGACCATTCACCCCCGAGATACAGCAGCAGCAGCAGCGCAGGGGCCGATGCGGCGGATCTTCGGCCTTCTGCTGATTTTGCTGATAAGCATGGGCCGCCGCAGGGTGGACGCACAGCAAGCCCAGAAGGCTTGTGAAGCCGTGAGAGGTGGCATGTCCGTTAGGAAGGCTGCTAAGGTCTATGATATTGATCGGCTTTCGCTCAAACGGCGCCTCGATGGAGAGGTGGCCATGGATGCAAAAGTAGGTCCTGGGACTGTCATGAGTGAGGAGGAGGAAAATTCGATTGAAGATTGTCTGCTGTACGCTGGTCGTAACTGCCTAGCTGTGAGTCGGCTCCACCTGCTGGAAACCGTAAGACTGCTCTGCCTGGACCGCAAGACCCCGTGGGATCCAGAGAAGGGCCCGGGGAAGGATTGGCTAGCTGGCTTCCTCGAAAGGCACCCGCGGGTTAGGGAGCGCACCACTCGCATCTACGAGGCCAACAGAGTCACCGATGAGAGCGAACCTCGCATCGTAGAGTTCTACAGGAAGTGGGCAGCTCTCCTCGAGGACCTCAAGCCGGAGGCCGACCACGTGCACAACACGGATGAGACAGGTGAGATGTACCTGTAGACTAGTCTAGACTAGTGTGGTATCAACAGGAGCTGTATTAGGCGAGCTCCTGTGCAAAGATCTCGAAGGTAGCATGTCAATATCTGGCGGAGTTCTGCCGTCGGCCGGACTTGCGTGCGGCGTTTTGGTGTGTACACAGCAGTATCTACTCTAGGACCCGGTCTTCATTGCATGGTTTTTGTGCGTGGGTAAACCTTCGCATCTTGTATGTGCCTTTACGTTTCTCTCCCCCTGTTCTCCTCCTCTCTCGCGATTGATTTAGGTACCACTCCGCAAGGCAACAAGACCATGAAGGCCTACTGTCAGGCAGGGCAGAAGGTGGTCGAGTCGGTTCGGGCCAACTCGCGAGAGAACACCACCTTGGTCACCACCATCAGCGCTGATGGCTCCACGTGGGCGCCGACTATCATCTTCAAAGGGCAGCGACTCCAGCCTGACTGGTTTGCGGAGAAGAACGGGCCGCCGGACGCGAGGTACACTTGTACGGATTCTTCGTTCATGCAGGGTAACGTGTTCATCAAGTACCTTAAAGACTTCCACCAGCAGCTTTGCAAACGAGGCTTGATCGACGGAAAGCCGCACATCCTCCTGCTTGATGGACACGCATCGCACGTGAGCGTCGAGGTCATCCAACTGGCCATGGAACTCAACATCGTCCTCTTTCAGCTGCCGTCCCACACGTCGCACATCACCCAGCCCTTGGACGTCGTCGCCTTCGGAGCCTTCAAGAGGGAGGTGACTAAGGTGCTGTCAGACTACTACCGCGTGTCCGGCGGGTTGCTTCCACAGAAGCGTGACGTCCCCGGCGTTATCGCGGCGGCTTGGGGGGCGACTTTCACATCGGAGCGAAATAGATCATCCTTCGCCGGGGCGGGCCTGTGGCCTGTGAACATGGAGCGAGCGATGAGCCGGCTTCGGGGCACAGCAAAGAGGAACGAGAACCAGACCGGGCGCCCTCCCCTAAAAGACGTCCCCATCGCTGTAGGCAACGAGCAGCTCGAGCAGGACATCGGAGAGAGGGGCATGAGGCAGCTGAAGGCGGCTGGACATCTAACCACGGGACTCAGGGTGAGCACGGTGATGCTCGGCAGCGTCATCCGTCAGAGGAAGCGCGCCAAGAAAATGGCGACCTCGCGGGGCTCTTTGGGCCTTCCCGACGGCGGCAACATCACCGCGGAAGACTTCCTGGCAAAGGTTGCCGAGAAGGAGCGCGCAGACAAGGAGGAGAGTGACGCAAAAGCGGAGAGGGCCAGGGAGCGCGAAAGGAAGAGGGCAGAGAGGGCGGCGGCGGAGCTGGCACGGCAGGCGAACACGGGCGGTCGAGGACGCGGGCGAGGGCGGCAGGGAGGAGGGAGGGGGGGCGAGCGGGGCGGGGGAACGGGGGCGGGGACGGGAGGGCGCAATGTCAATGCCGGGCAGGGAGCAGGGCGAGGGGGGCGAGGAGAGCCAGCGGGGCGAGGGGGGCGAGGGGGGCGCGGCGGGCGAGGGGAGCCAGAGGGGCGAGGGGGGCGAGGGGGGCGCGGGAGAGGGGGGGGGCGTGAGGCGAGCGGACAAGGGAGGGGCCGCGGGGCCGCGGCGGGGGGACGCGGCCGAGGAGGGGGTGGAAGAGGGGCCTCACCTGGCCGGGGACGAGGAGTGGCTGGAGCAGAAGAAACGGCTTTGCCCGAACGCCAACCGGCACCCTCCGTGTCCCGGGTTGGACGACAACGGACGCCGACACCCATTGTTGACGTGTAGCCGCATCATGCTCCAAACTTCTGCAATTTTTACGTGGAGTCGATGCGTACCCTATTGCACAATGTTTGTTGCCGGTAAGGTAGTCAACGGTGGCTTCGAGCGTGCCAGTACCGTGGGGGGAGGGGGTGGCGGATTTTTCCCGAAACCCGGGGATGTCGGGTTTCCGTCCCCCGGTGTTGTCCCCGGGTGTCTTCCATTTTTTTTTTCGTTGCGCATGAGTGTTTCTCAATCATATTTGGACGTTCCCTCCAAAAGGCTGGTCGTGGAAATAAAACGTTGGCTTGATTTGTCGTTATGATCGGCGTGAATTCTTGCCCTACCGGTAAGCCGATTCGGCAAAATGTACCCGTATTAACCGTAGAGAACGTCGTGAGTTGTACTCCAAATGACGTCAAATTTCACGCGGATTCGGCTTGCACGCCATAAAATGTGATATGTTGTTCGTAGACTTGCTACGGTGACAAGAGAGCGTGCCAGTACGGTTGGGGGGGACGGGGGGGGGGTCGGCGGCTGGTTTTGCCCGAAACCCGGGGATATCGTCATTCCGTCCCCGGGTGGCCTCCAAACTTATTTATTTTTTTCGATTAATGCTTCTAACTCCTATTTGGGTGTTCCCCCAAAATTTCATGTCCTGGGGGTGTATGAAAAGCCCAGAACAGGCGATACAGCAGTAGTCGGTGCACGGCGCTGATTCGTATCATGGCGGCAAGCAAAACAACGAAAATATACCAATTTTTGAACAAGCATTATTTTTTGACCACAACTCCTTTCGGCATAATTTTTTTTTTCGAGGTCAGAAAATGACAGGATGAAGCCAACTATGCTTCAAAACTGTTGTTTGGATTCGTTTTTGACGGATTATCACGCCGTACAGGCAAACGGCGGCGGAAAACGGTCCCAAGCATCTGCGCCGAAAACCCGGGGATATCTCGTATTCATCCCCGGGAGCCTTTAAAAAAAAAAAAACGTCGTTTTTCTTTGTGTTCATCGTATTGGACGATTGTGTGCAAAATCTTGGCTCTTGAAACGCATTTTAACCCGCGCAATCAGCACCTCGTAAAAGTGGTTCTTAATACCCTCCAACCGGATTCTGTGGTACTTCCAACTTCAACTTAGGCAAAATAGCTACAGCCTTAACTCGTTACCAATAACTTTTTTTTTTTTTTTCTTTGACAGGTAGTTGATCATGTTAGCTATCCTTCGGTACCTAGACATCATCCTATCTCGTTAAACTGACCAAGAACGAGCTCTTGGCGCGGGGGGTGGCTTAAGTGGTTCTTAATACCCGCCGCTACTCTACACTTGTAGCACACGCCGGAGCTTGACTCTCAGGAGAGAAAACAAAAGCTTTGCAAAATGCATCTTGCGTGCCGAGCATATGTAACATCTTCGACTACATGGCCGAGGAAGGAACAGGACGGCTGAACCCTCTCGCGAGAAGTAACTGAAGAACTTGGTGAATCCCATTGTGACCTTCCTCCTGTGCGACCCAGGCCGATAAGTAAAAATATGCACACCGTGAGTTAAGACGTTAGACTACATGTAGAACAGAGCGACGAACACACACACACTTAGAGCGGTGGTCCGAGTTTGGCTGTTGATACTTCCAACAGCTATTTATTCAGAAAATAGAACAGCCGAACTACAGTACCGTAGTAGATAAACAACAAAATGCTTCTCAACCGCCACAGCGGGAAGGGCCCCAAGTTGAAGAACACGACACTTCCTAAAGCTCGTCCCGAGAATAAGCGTATGCGTGACGTGCTTGTCACTGCCGCAGTCATCCGAGGGTAGTAGAAGTATGCTACACCACCTTGGGTGGGGTGGAACTTGCAGAGCTTTGTTCTTCGCCCCTCCGGGTTGTTGTCTGAACGTTTTAGCAGTACAAAAGTGAGCACTGCGTATCATCCCGCGTGCTGCACAAACGATCTGTGTGTCTTGACTTATCATCACATAGTACGCGCAGTAGTCTGACACGCGAATGCTCAACAAGAAAAGGGGGGGGCGCAGAAACAAAAGTAGAGACAACAATTCCGCAAGGCACGTCCGTCACGCGCCAGTCACTATCTTCCCCTCGTATATACTAACGATCGTGTATGTCCCCCCTTCTCTTGCCGGAACGTTCAAACCTTCGTGCCACCACAATATCCGGCAGAATCCCTGCTCCCGGCCTAAACACAGGATGGTATATGAAGCTCTACTAGAATGTGGCAGGCAAGAAGGTAGTCATGTCCCAAGTCCCTCTCTCCAAATGGGATTCCCTGTTGGGGGACAGGATACTATGCACCTATGTCTAGTCTACCCTTTACAGCGCGCTCGATTGCTCTCAACAAGGTGGTAAATGTTGTCCCACTCGGTGGGATTCTTGACCTGGTCCACCTTCCACTCGTTCTTGGCGCACTCGAGGCAGTGAAACTCCGGCTCGTTGACCTGCTCTGTGCATGAAATCCCTCCTGCAGTGTTCAAGTACATACGAAAGCAGAAAGCGAGAGTCATACCTTTACAATGAACCAAACAGTTTCAGCAGGAGTAAGGTCTGACAACATCATGCACGGTGCGTGTACCCAGTGAGGCGCATTTGTGCTTCGTTTCCGTCGCGGTTTCAATCACAGCCTTTTGCATATATATTTTCCAAGGAAGGAGAGCCATGACGAGCGCAGAGGAAGCACCTGGTCGTCATTCATTCTTGCCAGCAACGGTAGTGATCAGGGCAAACCAGCGAAGGCAGTGAAGGTGAGAGTTGGCTCGAGTGCAAAATAAGTATCACCCGCAACATCAAAAACATTGTTTGGCGTCTCCGCGACGAGTTTTGTTTTGATGAGTCCTGAGGTGAAAGAGACAGCTTGATGTTTCGACAAGGAGCGGTTTTGTCTCTTTCACGCCTGGTGGGCGTCCGTTGACCCACCCGTCGACGGTGTTCATGGATCTCGGACGTCCATGGATGCTTTCACGGACCGCCGCGAACTTTTCCATGAGTTGAAACGGACATCTTCGGGCCGGTTGTTTGGACTTTTCCATGGACAGCTACGGATATCCACGGACCGTTCGCTTGATGAATATAGTCCACATCGTCTTCATGGACGCTGAAGAACGTTGATGAACGGTCTGAGTTCGTCGAACCTCGACATACCCGTGGACATGCGCAATTATTGTTCTTCCACGTATATCCGAGGGCGCGCACGCAGACCTCCCTTTGTTCATGAACAATTTGGCTGTGTAGTCTACAATACCAACGTGGACCACGCACGGGCGTCCGCGTGTTACGGCATGTCTATGAACATCTCAGGAAGGGCGTCCCCAGACTTGTGGTTGGAAGTTTGCTGGAGTGTCCCTGTTCACGATGACGGACGTGTCAATGCGTATGCGTGGACATCCACGGACGCCCACGGATATACCCAATGACGTGCACGGACCGTTTCGTAGAACAACAATGTTCTTGCATGTGTTTTGGATACCACGGCATCAACCCGGAAATCCGCGAATCTTCCCGTTTGTCTACGGGTCACCACCAGAGCTGTATACTCCATCCCGACCACTAGCTTTGGGCGCATTTCGGGGTATGGCGGTATCCATCCTGCAAAGTGGTTGCTCACCGTATCTCTGTGTAGACGACCCTCCGCGGGCGGCCGCTAGCGCCGAGTAGGACGATCGAGGAGACGTCACCGCGATATCAGCGTTCCCAACAAGCATCATTTCCGTCAGAGCCAACTGCCAGAGAAAGAAAAGACAAGCTGAGTCGACGGTCGTTCTTGAACGACCGGCTCGATGCAGCAGAAATATCATTGGTTTCTCTTTGAGCACAATCAGTAGGCGACGATCCTGTCGTCCTATTCGTTGCGTACGAACAATTTGGCGAAGCAATGCACATATCACGAGGCTATGGACACGTGCAGCTAGGATTTTGGTGTTCCAGCTGAGGGCAAGGTTGAAGGAGGGAAGATGTTCTCATAGAGATCGACGCACTTCTGCGTCGTATACAGTTGCAATGAAACTTGGTGTTGTATCGCGCTTTGAACATGTTCACAAGTTGGGCGGTGACCGTGCTGCGATTGTACTGCACGAGAGTCGCGTGGGCATCATTAACAGATGAGACCTTGAACTGCTCCTCCCCAGGCTAGTTCTCTCTAATGTCAAAAACTTGTCGAGCGGAGACATTTCGAGACTGGTTGGCTGTATATCAACGGTTGGCGACCATGTGGGTGGATGGGGGCATTAGGGCTCAGTCAGGTTGCATGAGATATTAACGAGAATTTGGTCATGGGGGGCAGAAACCTGTGCAACACTACACTTAGTTAATTCCCAATCATCATATGTTGATGACGGATTACTACAAGAAGGCGCCAATTCGATTGTTCTTGCTGCTGGTCACTTCTAGTGGTTAGTGCGCTTCCGTCTTCCCCTGTGATACCGGTTGTCAACAAAGCACCGTTATACTCCCCTAATCCTCCGCCACCGAGTCAGCCATTGTTTTGTAGCGCGAGTGTACGGCGTGCGACTCCGTTCCGTAGCTCCGAGTATCGCTTGAGCCGGCGACGATACAAAACAAACTCGGATGGAGACGATCTCTTACGTGGACGAGCGTACAAAGAAAAGGGCGCAGGGATCTTGACAATGCCACATTTCGCAATATGTTGCGGTCTGGTACTCACTTGAATCTTTTGGAGTGAATTACGCATCTTCCGTCCTTCCCCCGAGCGTTCCACGCCGTTCATGGTGACCACATTGATGCCACGCGGCCGCAACTTCGATGCGGCGAACTATTGGGTGTGGAGAGGTTAGAGTGTAGGTTTGCAAGGCGAATCGGACATGTTTGAAGTCAGAATGAATTATCCCTGCTGAATGGATAGGTGTGGGGTGACCAGTGCACGCACAGAAATTGCGTAAAAGTCTACATTTAGTCTCTATACCGTCTCTGCGGGCAAGTATCAGTCGTATGCCGACTGTACGTTATCACAGAGACTTTTACCCGGAAAACCGGAGAGTGAGTGATGAAACAAATCAGCATAGATCTACGTATTTATTCCCCAGATGTGTTGGCTCAATATTCGGTGCAATGTAGATGATACATGTTGACATTACTTTTCCTGATTGTTGTTGATGGTGCCATAGGCAACCATCGTGAATGGACCGTCCACAGACAGATTGTCGTAAAGTCGTACGCTGTGTACAATGCCCCGCTCGTATCGTGTGTGATGATTGTCTTGGTCATATTTTCTAGTTCGAAGTATGCAGTAGCAGCCTGCGTAACCCCATGCAGTGATATCCTTAGGTAGAGTACTTAGCAGACTTCACCACAACGTTTTGACACACGCTTACTCAAGGATAAAGATCATCGGGATGATCCGGTGGCCCAATATTGCAGTCGATATAGCAATTGCTTTTCGACGTGCATCCTGACCCTACGATTCGCGATACTTCTCGGCACATCGTGGAGACAGAAAAACGACTCTCTTCGTAGACACCCGCTCACGATTTTTTGGTAAAACATCTTCCCGCGGGGGCGAGAAATGCACCTACACTATAGAAACGCGCAGACCAGGGAGGCCTCTCAAACATGTATTGGTGGAACATGTAAAGACACATTATGTGGACCTCGTGAATCACGACAAATAGATCCTGGGCAAGGTCTTGCCACAGAGCTAGCGAAGGTTTTGTTGGCCGGCTGAAAAAAATGAGGGTGGAGGAGAAAATGAAGCAGCAGATTCTCGGTGGAGAGTGGATGACGTGTTGGATGACGTTAACGTGGAGGCTGTACGAGCACCGTGACCACCGGAGAGGTCTGAACAGTACGGAAAAGAACAAATGCAGAAACCGGGAACTGAACACCCATTCAATACAGTCCAAGCCGTTGCATTTCTAACGAGCTTCCAAAGTCAATGGACAACGAACTAAAGCAAGTAGAGCGTGACCGATGTTGGCGGCATTAAATGATGATTGGGCGAAAGCCCAAAGAGTTAGCGAAGCGCTCCATTCAATCGCCTCTGCCCACCTGCTCGAAATTATCCATGTCGGTCACCAGCAGCACCGTCGATATATTCTTCGAAAGGGCCAACTGTTGCAAGCACCCCACAAACTTGTTATTCCTCGACACGGATCCTAGGTGGAAGGAGCGAGCATGCGCCGCAATCTTCTGCAATGTTGAAAAGGGCGAAACGCGAAGTGCTCCGACATCAAATATTGAACTATATCCCAAAGGCTAAATGCGTGCAGGGTGGGCGCCAAAGTTGTTGAGAGGGTACATTCACCGTAGGTGGGTTTGTGTCATTTTGAATCATCGTCGGACAAACCAATGACCTAGTATTACATACACGTCCAGCCGTAAACCTCAAATATCAGACCAGAACCGAAATTGAAGCACACGACCAAATTTCATGCGAGGAATATAGACTCATGGAAGGATTCCGCCAATTTACGGTGGCGAGATACATTCTTGCGCGCGTGGAGGTCTGCGACTGGTTTCCTGCGAAATTCCACCTAAGCCGTATGATGGCGCACGACTACGCAAGGAAGTTGCCTCCTTCTACGGCGGCCGCGCAGACTTTTCGTGGTTGTGACTGTTGTTGCGTGACAGACGACGATCACGTGAACAAGTTCAACTGGAGAAAACAGAGGGAGCAGTAGGCCTATTACCAAGGCTATCCTCCCATTCAAACGCCGATCAACAAACCTGGCCCTCCACCGGGAAGAGCCGTGCCGATTCGTCTGCAATTCGTTGGCGGATGGCCGCCACTGGGCGAAAGAGGCCAGGAAACAGAGTTTGCGAGGCCCTCCCAGGCCGCAACCACTCTGAAATAAGAGTTCCTCCAACCTTAGAACTCCCAAAGGCAGGACTTGACATGAATTCTACCAAAAACTTTGGAAAAATGCACAAGCAGCGGGAAAAGGATAGGGGTGGACACGTTTAGAGGTTAATTAACGCAAGCATTATCATAGTTTGAAGCCTGGTATGACCTCTCGCCGTCCCGATCCCGATGATACGGACATGGGTGTAAACAGGAGATGATGTGGTCCGTACGAATCCGGGGTTGGCACATATTCCGAGGCGATTGTTCGAAGTCGTACCTCCGTCGTCTCCGGCCGTAACCTCAACGAGAGAAAATCATCGGTCGATTGTTCACCCACGGGGTTCACCTGGTTTGAAGACACATACAGGACAGGGCACTTCGGTCTTGGATCTTGCCCCCTCTTTTTGAGGAAAACGGCGTTGAAGTGACCTTTCTGCACACCACCTGCTCCGATTCAAAACCAAGGTATCCAAGAAACAAACATGAACACCATGAGACATGCTCTGTCTGATCAAGGACAGACAGACCATTGTTTTTCGGCGAAGTTGGTCCCACACGTGCAAAGTTTGTGCGTATACACCCTTTTCCAGGTTCAGCAGTGATTACATGAAAAGTTATGAATGCATTATCCTTCGCACTCGTCTTCAACTGACCGGTGACTGGCCATCAACCCCGAACGTCTATATCAATTTGTTTATCAATAGAGTATCCTCAATAGCGGCGTGAAAATGACGGTTGCGACGGTTGTTGGGTTGAGGTGATGGCAATTGTTGTCGCCAGGGGCACCGGTGAAAAGAAAGACCGCCACAAGCGAAGCGTACATTGTATAATTGACCGATAATGCCGGGTTTGGGCAAAACATGAACCTAGAACGTAGGCCAGTTTGTTTTCTTTTCGGGTTCTGTCTGGTGGAGAGTGGCCTTGCCAACTGATGGAAAGTGAAGGACTCGGTCTTGTGTCTAAGGGATCCACAACTCTGGTGGCTGCTGGTCCGTCGCGCACCGGTTGGTTTGAAGTCCAATGTGCACCGCTCCTTCTCTTCTGCGGAGGACATCTCCGGTGGCTTGGCCCAGCGCTCCACGCTTGAGCCCGCCGCCGCTCGAGTGGCAGGTCCGCCCCCCAGCCCGCCGGACTCTGTCAGCAGATCTTCGGGCCCGCTCACTAGGGTGCCGGCGGCGGCTGATGTATTCCATGGCGTGAAGGGGGGTACAAAAATATCAATGTACCGGGCGGCCACCCTGCGAAGACGTCGCACGGTGGCAGAGCTACTGTTGGCAAGGTGGCAGAGTTACCGTACACGCTCTGTTCGTCTGCGTTACGTGAACACGAGTTGTGCTGAATGGGCCGTTCATCGTTGTTTATTGCACACCTTGTATGTTTATGGATAGCGTCTGCTGCCAATACATTGGTTGCACCCTTTGGGACCACCCGTCGACACGAAAAAAACACAGACACAGAACTCGGCTTTGCCCACACCACCCTCTTGCTCCAGGGTAGCATCGGCCAGAAACCGCAAAGCCGAAGCAATAGCGCCCATGGATAAATTTTCGTTGTGCTCACACTAGTGTATGTGCTCATTGTTTGGTGGTCATTGCTATACATTCGGAGTACGTCAACAGCAACTAGAGAGAGGGACACCGTTGCACCAGATACATTTGGTTAATACTCACTGGTCCCTGGGCTCGACCCAGTCATGCAAGAACACCCTTTCGGTCGCGATAGACATCACGAACGCGCTCATCATGCCGGCCATGTGGTTCCCTAACCCGTGAACGGTGTTCGAAAACACCAGGTACTTAGTCGGGCGGACCCTCGAAGGTGTCCCGGCGGAAGATGGCATCCCGTTCTCGTCTTTGTCCTCCATTCCAACCGCAACCCCACGCGTGAGCAAGCTGTATCGATCCGCTGCATATGCTTTCCAAAATAGATCTTCGTAATGCAATTCGATCGAAGAAACAGTGTGTAAAAAACGGTGTTGGTCGATTGCTACTGAAAATTTGGTACCATGGTATGTATATACCTTTTTTACAAGGCAATACAAGCCCTCTGCTTCAGGCGAAACAACATGAAGACAAGTGAACCCTATCAACCAAGCTGTCTATTGTTGGCTTTGAGCTTTCACCGAAAAGGTAAACTGTTCACACAAATCAAACACGAATTGAACATAGGACCCAGCTTGAACTTTATCTCATGCCCTTCTCGTTCAACTTTTCACTTTTCCTCAGTGACCCACTACATCACATCTTCATTTGACAGTCTCCGAAAAAGTTGTGCGACAACGTTCTGAATTCTTCGTGACAATGACACAGAACCTGTGCCTTAGGTCAAGCATGGATGGGGTGCCAACAGCTGGTGTGTGGAGATCGAGAGACACTCTTTTCGCACGTTTACGGGTGAACCTAACCCTAACACTCATTTCGCACGTTTACGGGTGAACGGGCGTGGTCGGTTAAGGCCAACCATCCGTCTTGTACGCATGTCTTGTCTCCAAACATTTTTTAGTGTTTGACGGCCTGAACGACTTTGTTGTCGTCAGGTGGGGTGTGTATTGCAGTTGGCTCCGGTTGTACTCTTTGCCCCAGAAAGCTCGAAGAGTCTAGGAACCGTTCGGGGCATTGTTGACGCACGCAAGCCAACTCTCATCGGGGTCGCACCAGGATGAAGCCTGTCTGTATCTCGTTCAGCGGAGAGAGTCGATGGTTGTCCAGCGGGGGTTCGCTCTTTTGCCACAGGAAGCCTCTCTGCTGACGGTTGACGCCCTCCTCCTCTCTCGCCCGAGAGGAGCGGGGATACAAGAGGCGGATTGGTTTGGGGCTTCTCTGCCGGCCCCACTACCTCCGCGCGACCAACGCGAACACCTTCGCTCTCGACACAAGGGAATCGGCGGGACCCACAGTTTAAACCTGAACGGAGAACGGTTATTCATTACGAAGAAAGGGACGCGTCTGGTTGCCGTGGTATGGTGTTAGCTGAACAGCGTTACCTGATGTTGTGCCAACGAGGGGTATCTTTGGCAACGAACGGTTTCATCCTCACCGTAGATTCGATGGGTGCGGATGACCGCGGACTGTGGCAGTCGAATCGGACGCAACATCTCGTAGGTGGCTTACCTTTTTCGACTGTAGTTGTCCCACACAAACACATTGCCCAACCTTGCGTTTGCCAAACTGATCCGTCGCCTGTTTTCGAAACAAAACAATCTAACGGTGAAAACTAGACGACTGAAGATATCCTGTAGGCACGACTTTCATGTAGATCCTCCCAAGCAAATCCCATCTAGAAGAACCACGCCCATCAATGAGCGTGTGATGGCAACGGCCCTTATTCTGTTCGCGCTTTCCTCAATTTCCATGCACCTTCGTTCCACCCAGACCCTCCTCGCTTGTTGCTGTTTGAAATGTACCAATAACATGTCATGAAATCAACGTTGTGTGGGCATGGGAACCTTACTTCAAGCTGACCTACCTTCTTGTGTGGTGGCCTTCCGATCAGCTGTATGCATTGCCTTCAGGCTGCCCCATTGCCGCCCTACTTCCCACGTGACGCACCAAACACCCAAAATACAGAACGACCATGCCATTCGGTGAGTGGCCTTGCTGACTGCTATTTGTTTGCGGCAGAGGTTCATCTCGTAGCCTCCAGATCCAACAACACGTCGGACTAGAGGCAAACCAAATATGTAAACACGAGGGACGAACGAGTGGGACGAACGAGTGAGCGGGCGGTGTCAATCTTGATTAGCCTACACTGTACAGGCTGGTGACAGAGTTTTACGTTGATTCCGAACACTGAAGTTTCGGAAGAAAAACACTACATACTCCGGAGTTTCCATCACTGAAAGACAAACGTTCGAAATTTTCTATCTCGGCAATCATGAAACGTGCCCAAACGTTGTCCCTCTGCCTATACCCGACGGGTCCGTAAAAATCTCCGCCGTTAGGTGATAATTCACAACATACCATCGTCCACCGAAACGAAGGCCTGTCGGCATGTCCATCAACCTTGGCAATTTATGTAGCCCTGAACGTGGAACACGTTATCCTTCCTCTCTTCCATTCACATGCATGTAGCCTGTCGAAGGCCTCGTGTGTGTTTTCATCGGGTCGATTCTCTGGAAGGTTTTGCGGCGTCATTTTCGATCGAGACTGACCATAATAAATATTCTAGGGATTCCAACTAAAAAACGCACGAAAAAAACGTGTTTGGAAAAACGCGTTTCAGAAAGTGACGGTTGAAAGGTCGTGTTTCGCTGTTTCCCCGCTAGTGCCTGTTGGAACCCCCCCCCGTGCTCTTGATATTTTTTCGGACATCAGTCACGGGTTTCCCCATAGAAACCCGTTAGAGAAACCCGTTTAGCCTGCTTCCCGGGAAAAATTTGACGGAAAAAAAACACCCGGTGGACGGGCGGCTCGACTTGTGCCTGTTGAGAAGAACCAACGGTTTCTCAATGACGGTGCCTTTGAACCACTCCATGATGTCGACTCGTCTGCGCCACTCGATGGAGATGAAGGGTCGTTCTCTGGCGGGTTCTCGCCTCGCCCACGCTGCAGACACGGGGATGAACGAGTGGGAGGCGACATGCTCGAACCCCTCGACAAAGGTGACGAGACTTCACTGCTGACTTCCTGCGTACCTCCTCCACGTGCACGCGAGGTAGGGACCACGTCTACGACCAAGCTGGAGCTGCTGCCGGAGTCGCTCTCCTCTCCGGTCGCACTGCTGTCCATGCAACCACTCAGGGACGCCCCCTCCTCCTTCTCCTCCTGCCCACTCACAGACGGCCGGGCTCTTTCCGCCTGGGCTCCTGCCGCCTCGCGCTGAGTCGCGATCCTCTCTCCTCTTCCAGAGGCCTTCCTACCTCGATCAAAGATGATCCAGTTCAAAATATAACGCGAGCTGCTCTTCCGCTGCACGCGGGCACCAAGAACCTTCTCGCGCGCCCGAATCCCGACCTAACAACTGCACATACGTTGCTGTGAAAGAAACCCCAGTCTCCGCTGCTCAGCCTCCTGCGCACGGAGCGCTTGATTGCGTGCGCTCGTACGTGCCGCTTCGTTCCGTCCTCGACGGAAAAAGTTGCCGGCGTATTTCTTCCGGCCAACAAAAACTGAAAATCTTCAACAAATAACCCGGTGGATTTTTCCGTCGGGACCCGGCCCAGACGGAAAAAAATCGCCCAACCGGAAAAAATCGGCCCAAACGGACAAAAATTGGCGGACGGGGAAACCCGGGAATACCCCCTCTTTGTTTAAATGTCCGCAAAATACGGAACACGCGGCGGCGTGATTTGGCGTGATGTTGGCACGCGCGTTGACGTCCTGAAGCAACTGGCGCGCCTACAGCGTAGTAAGATTCGGCATGAGAGGCATAGCCAAATCATGCAGATGATTACGGCGGCTCTGCTGTGTGCGGTGGCTGGAGAAGAGGAGCTTTTCCTCGTCCTGGCGGTAGTGGCAATGCGGCAACTCCAATGCGTTCCCAACTCAAACCACGCTCCCAACTCGAACCACGCCGCCGGGTGAACTGTGCTAACAACCCTGACTTCCAAGCACTTGACCGCTGCTGTGACTGATGACTCGCTACCTCCCTCAAGGGGCGGGGATGCACACGAGGTCCGCCGTAGGAGAGGCGGCTACCGCGGTCACTGGTGCGGGTGAAAAGCTGTCCCAACCACGCCCACCACGCACGCCCCCAGCACGATCTTTTAAATACAAATGTTCACCGGAAATGACCCCAACGTGTGTCGGTTCCACACCAGTTGCCTCAGGGATGGATAGCTATGCTCTCGGAGTATGTGTCGTACGGTAAGGTGGATGTGTGCGTGTGCGCGCATGAAGTTTGTTTCTTTCAAACGCGAAAAACAAAATGCACCAAATGGAAAAAAAAACAGACGAGCTGGACTGCAGAAATTCGTACGAAAAGGCGCGGCGGAACCTCGAAATACGTTTTTTTGGCGAAACACGTTTTTTTCGTGCGTTTTTTCCCGAGGTGGAATCCGTCTATTGTTGGTTCTGCTTCGAAGAGCGCCGTGCTTTCTCGCCCTCAAGTATGCATAATACGCCGTAGTTGTTCGTCTCGTTATTTTCAATACCTACGGCCAAGCACACCCGGGCCTTTCAGTCCGCAAGAGTAATCGCCAGGAGTCTATTGTATGCATACAGCAGTAGTCCATGTATACTGCACAATTTGACTACCAAACCTGCGGTCTACAGCAGTACCAGTATTATTTTGCAGTCGCCGAGGAGGTGGATCCATGCTGTCCTGCTCTGGAGACTACATAGAATAAGTATGAAGGCAGTTAGACAATCCGAACGGAGAACTCTCCCTATCCATGGCGATGACCATCTTAGGGGGTACACGTGAAAACGCGAGTACATGTGGCGGGTGGTGGGCACACTCTAGACTACTTAGACAACTTACCAGATTGAGAACTCTCGCTCTTCCGTTTGGCAGAAATCTAAAATCTTCGCCTGTTGAAGGCGACAATATTAAGACTCCAGTAGATGACCTTTGTCCTTCTGAGAGCAGTCCCCCAGTAGCTCTCAACTGCCGGCTCTTCGATACGGTTCCCACTCCGACACAGGGAGCGTATATCTAGCAGCCGCATCGATGAAATCGAGCGCGGCAAAACTAAGAGTTGCTGTTTTTTTTTTGTCAGTATTGTATGGGGAACACGCCTCTCGCGGCCGGTTGGACAACCCGCCGAGGCCAATCCGACGCTATTTATTGGTTGTAACCGCCGCGCAATATCTTTGACAGTCTCGCGCTGTTCATTGTTCACCACTTTTTCACATCAGAGGGGCTGCACAAGTCACGTCCGCTTTCGTTTTCTGGAAGGCGACACCACCAGGTAGGAAGCGCAACCATGCCACATGCAGTCGATTATGTAGACTTGATCGTCGACGGAATGCTGGAGTCGTTCGTCGGCGATCTCTGTTCTTGGGTCGAAGAACGCACATGCAGTCTATCTAGTCTTTGCGCACATGCATGTGGATAGTCTATGAGTCGGATACTTTACTTGTGTTTGTTTTTTGCATCGATGAGCCACCAAGCCATAAGCAGCACACCGAAACACCGTGCCCAGTAAGGTTCAGGTGGGATCGACGCGCAGCGCGCTCACGGGTGACAAGAAGTATTGTACAACGTGAACGGAGCACTGCAGAGATCCAAGTAGTGGACGCCGAAGATCGTATAGATGGGCGTCCCGGAAATAGACGTGGCGACGGATGGGTTGACGTGTACGTGGACAAGATGCTGTAGCTGTCTGTATGGACGTTCCCCAAAATGTCGGAGGACCTGTGCACATCGCGACACCAAAGTAAATATTCCGAGATTCGCAACCCGAAGAATACGTGGACGCAACCAATCTCCCCGAAGATTCTAAACGGTAGGGGGCACAGCAGTCTCGAATATCCCCACTCGGGATCGGTTTGTGTGTACGGATCCCTTTTATATCCGTTGTTCACGCACGTCTAGCAATGCGGGCGTGCTCACGGTCATGCTTGTGAACCAGGTCCACGAACGGCTATAGTATCATTGCCAAAGTTCACGTGCTGTGTAGTTAATGTAGGTGGACGAACGCTAACCTATGCTTGGCAGGTCACGTAGAGTCGTCGCTGATACATTCAGACTACTTTGCTCATGTTACCAGTGTGACTCGTTGCCAGGGTGAATTGGTGTTCGATCATGGCAAAAATAAAATCATCGCTCCCAACCGTGCTAGCGCTCGTGGTGGGGATTCTGGACGTCTTGGGAAAGGCCTTCGGAGAGCGAGGTAAGGTTGCGGAAGGTGCGCTGTCAAATGAGGCGCTTGTGATTGCCAGTAGTTGTTCTGCGAGGCACCTGGTGCATAGTCCTACGTTGCTAGTAACTTCAAGTTAAGGCCTATCACGCTCCTCCTTTCTCCAATAATGTCCTGCGTGCTACCTTTGTTGTGAGGGTGGTAGATTCGCCTTGCGATCCGGCGCAAGCACTGACACTCCCAAGTGTGCTCTCCTGCTGCCTTGTTTTTTGGAAACTGACAACGGATACAAGGGGGTGTACCCCCGACCTTTCCATTCGTTGCGGTAGACGTTGGCCTGCGCCAAGAAAATGGGACATTCTCCGAAGAATGGATGGACAAGTTTAGCAGTGACGCGGTTGGCTGCGTTGGTTCGGCGAAAGACCCGTACCTGTGGAGACCTTCCGGTTACGGCAGCAATATTAACAGTAAGTCGCACGATCAGATGTCAATTCGAGCTGGTTTAGATTATTCGACGGGAATACATCGTAGAAATTGTCTCGTACACCAGACGGCAAAGCACACCCCCAACTTGTGTGCCCTTGAAGTGTCAGGAAGGATTGCCTGAGGCATAGGTGGTGCTTGGATTGAGCGAGTTGCGAGGTATTTCCCGAGGGGCATTCAAGCACGTTCCGCTCATTTCATGCTCTGGCCCAGAGTCAACGTTGTTGAAATCGGGTTGTTGTTCGTTTCTTGCAAACCGCTCCCCCATCCCTCGCACAGCTGCAGCCGGCGGCGGCACCGTATCGCTTCATAGGCCTTTATACAACTCACAACAACTCGGAATTCATTGCCTCTTCACAGAAAGGCACAACACAGCACATCGGGTTTTTCACTCGCGCTCGTGCCCGCCACCCACAAACAAACCCAAAATGATGGGTTTTTGAAGAAAGATGCATTCGGTGCCCAAGTAGCAAGATGAACTTGCCAGGAAACATTCTTCATCACTCGTTCCGGCCCTTCCTCATTACGTGCTTTGGCAGATATGCTTCTCGTCTGGGCTAATGCAATTTTGGAGGGGCGCAATGATGCGTCTGTCATCACCCAGACGAGCAAATATTTCTCTCGAACGACGTGCGACGTTGAAAGCAATGGAGTAGAAACACGGGGAGGCTGGCATTGCATCTTTGCTGCGGCACCCCACCTGTGCGCCTTTGACAGTGACAAGGTCCGCCTCCGTTGGCATTCCTTGTCTTGGGTTATGTATTTCCAACAACCTACGCATGGTACGGGCTCCCTATTCTCAAAGTACGCATGCCCGCCGTTCGATGCTGAGAAGGAAGATTTGACAGCGACACACCAATGTCGAGATTTTGTGCTGCAAGTGCGTCGGAGTAGTTGCGATTCGTCTTTCCGCAGCAAGCAGACGTTGTTGGGTACTTCTGAACAACGATAGTCCCGTTCTGGCGTACCACGTGGCGCCCCTGCCCTTCCAACACCCAGCTAAACGCGTCTAGCACTGCGGCGTGCTCGACCACTGTTATCATCTCCGGTTCAATTTTTCAGGACTGGAACAAGTTCAACAATCGGCATCATGTATCCGCAAAGGACATGAAAGAAGGCGGCGGCTTAAAGGACATAACCGTCATTCGAAATAGACGTACCTCGACCGAACAGTCCCTTGGAGCGCTGGGCTACAGCATGCTGGAGGTTATGGCTGTGAGTAAGTCTTGGTGGAATTTTTTGGTGGAATCAAAGGAAATCCTTCCGGGAGGATTGCTTCTGGTATGCCGCAGATAAAAGTGGATGGGTGAATCCTGCCTTTACGTGTCTGTGCAAGGGTCATCAGTCGCAGACGCGTGTAACTCTTTTTCAGGCGTTATCCTCTGGCTGCGTCAAGACTTCGATTTTGATGCTCGCATGACGCTGTTTCTTTTTTTTTTGCATTGGTCAGATGCTACATAATTTGTTACACACACATATTCAGCCATGGTTCAAGGCCGATGTTCAAGCTATTCTCGACGAACCCGACATCGCCGCGACGAGGAGCGGAAAGTATGTCGGCGTACACATCCGCCGGACCGACAAGGCGAACGAAGTACAGCCCGTCAACACCAAGGTGCAGAACTTCAAGATGAAATGCAAGAGGGCTCATGCTGAAGCGTTCCTACATTATTAGTTTTCCGAGGACGTTCGGGCTGGAAAAACGCCATCGCCCCATCGGCCGGTAGCCCGCACTCTTAAAAACAAGGCTTGGCTTCCGCCCCCACCGATTACTGGCCAAGTAAGCACCGGAGCTTCTGTTTCACTCGACAGGCATACTTGGCGAAGGCTGCTGGCTATCTTGCCTCGCCGACGAACGACCTGGCAGCTACAAATATCACAGGAATATGGGTGTCTTCAGATGACGAAGCTGCGTTTGACGAGGTGCGTGTCTTATTCAAACGTTGTTGCTGAAGCACCAGTAGGCCATCGCGACGCTGTGTCACCACCGGGAGTTCTACCGCTCGAAACTTGACGGACTCCAGGAAGTTGTCCATCCCTGCAGATCGTTTTAGTTGAGAAAGTTCCAAACTGCCGTTCGTCGTGCAAAGCTTGCCGCCTACCGATATTTCTATGTAGCTCTTACCATTTACTTTGGGCCACGAGCACATACGATGGTTGTTGTCGGTCATGACGGGGTTGAACGCTACCCGTCGTAAGGCGACATGCCAAAATACTTTTCCACATGTTTGAGGGTGGCGAAATCCTGCATTACCTTGGCAAGGCGAATTTTCAGCGTGCAAGGTTCTTCGATTGACCATGTTTCTTGAATACATCTATTCGGTAGTCTCCACAAGGTACCACTCTCCGTACGCTGCGCAACGAGATCATCCCCCATGGCACAACAATACTTTCCAATTGTTCGTCTCTGAATCCA